AGACTTGTCTTTCAAACACCCTTTTCGCCATGTTTCTGACTATCTTTGCCACGACATGGAACAATAAGATGTTTAATATATGATGGAGCTTGGTTGTTAAGAGCTTTGTATGTTAGGAGTAATATTTTAAATTCTTTTCTGAATTTGACAGGGAGCCAGTGGAGAGAAGCTAAAACTGGAGGAATATGATCTCTCCTTCCAACTCTCATTAAAACTCTAGCTGCAGCATTTTGGATCAACTGAAGACTTCTTAAAGAGTTTTTTTTGGACACCCAGATAATAAAGAATTACAGTAATCCAGCCTAGACATGGTAAATGCATGGATCAGATTTTTTGCATCGCTTGTGTTGTTCGGCTGACGGAGGGAGTTCAGTTGATGAGGAGGGCAGCTACGTTTGAAACTAGCTGAAGTTTATGGAGGAGCTTATCAGTTCAACCAAAAAGAAGAGAATTATGGTTAAATCCCATCTCATCATCAGATGATCTTAAAATAAGTTTCATCCTGTAGATATGAACCTGCTTTACAAAGAGAACAGGTGTGAGTGTGTGTGGGAATGGCTCTGTACCCTGAAAAGACTTCAGTGTTGAATGTCTCCTCTGCAGGATGGAAACAACTAAGAAGCAGGAGCTCATTTCCTTGTTGTCCAAAGAAAACTGATGGATGACTTTTCTGGCCAAAAGGACACAACTGTGTGTTTTTCACCTGCAGCACCATGTCCAACATGATGTACCTGACTGTCATCAGCATTTTGTATTTGCCCATTTTATTGTTCGAGGCCTTTGTTTTGTCTAAAGGAAAGTATGAGCGCTCAGTTGTTCCGAGTTCTGTGTCCCGCCTGGTGGCTAGGATGGACGGAGACATCATCATCGGCGCCCTCTTCTCTGTGCACCACCAACCGTCAGCTGAGAAGGTGGCAGAGAGAAAATGTGGAGAAGTCCGCGAGCAGTACGGCATCCAGCGGGTGGAGGCCATGTTCCACACGCTGGATCGGATCAACTCGGACCCCACCCTGCTACCAAACATCACGCTGGGCTGTGAGATTAGGGACTCCTGCTGGCACTCCTCAGTGGCTCTGGAGCAGAGCATCGAGTTCATTCGAGACTCCCTCATCTCCATCCGGGATGACTCGGAGGGGTCCAAGTGGTGCATTGAAGGCGGACCATCCAGTCAGCCACCACCAACTAAGAAACCCATCGTGGGGGTCATTGGCCCTGGCTCTAGCTCTGTTGCAATCCAAGTCCAAAACCTTCTTCAGCTCTTCAACATCCCGCA